CTGCAGTGTGCAAGTAGTCCCGCAGTTGTGCCATGAGCACATTGCAATGCGGTTTCGGCAATCATCCGGTCGAGGGAACGGGCATCCACTGGAAGTCCGTGAACGTCCACGGGTCGAGCCCATCAAGTCTTGACCCTGACGTCGAATCCCCGGCAATAGATTACGGCGAAGGTGTCGAATCGGTTGCCGATGGTGATGAAACCGTGCATGCGGTGGACTGTTGCACGTGGAGCGGCTGTTCCAGTGGTGGAACCAAGTAGACAGCATAGTCCTCGTAAGAGTAACGAGAACTTGGGACATTCGCGTTCTCCCCAGATGTGCAGGAGGCTGCTAGCAAGGCGGCCGAATCTGGCGGAGTGGAAGGTGGAGTCGCCTCACCTTCCGCGGAGCTCAGTTTCCCGAGCTGAGGCGGGGTCGCACATCCTCCTTGCCCTGATCCTGGCACAGGGAGGTCTTGTGCTTGGTGTTGTTGCACCAATAGCAGCTGCCATAGCGGCCGCGGACTTTGTACTCCACCTCGGTCAAGCCGAACTTGAGCCATGGAACTTATACTAGCTGTCCATTTCCGGCCTGCGATGCGGATTTCGCCTTCCCATTGTTGCGGGACTTGTTGTTGCTTCGCGGCTGGACAGCAGCCACCTGATCTCCGTCACTTGATGCTGGAGTGGCTGCTGGGTTATCTCCACTATCCTGCTGGACTGCAGCGAAGTGCTGCTGTCGCGGACCAGTTCGTGCCTTCTCCACAGGTTCGCTGCCATGTTGATTTCTCGTGTGCAGCTGACCTGTTGGTCGTGATGATCTCTCTCCCCTTGTTGATGATCTCTGCGAAAGTGTGGTACTGCTCGCGATCACCAAGTGCGAGGCTCAGAGCGGCGCATGACCTGTTGTAGAACTCACGGCGCAGATGCGGAAATGGCAGGTCCAGATCGGGCGTGGCCACGATCTTCTGCCAATTCGTGAGCCAGTCACGTGTCGGTGTGCTCCCTTGAGCCATCGCGAAGATGCGGTTGATGGCGAGCGCAGGCGCGTCATCCACTATGAACCGCTTCTTCCATTCCTTTGTCATATCCGCCCAGGAGACCTTGTGTAGGTCTGAAACCTGGACGTCGTGGATGGTTGCCATGTGGCTGAGCCAGATCTGACATCCTCCCTTGGTGTTGATGAACAGAGCACTGATGAACAGATGGTCACGGACCTCGTGGATCCCCAACTCCGTTGTAAATCCTTGCCACCAGGCGATCGGGTCTTGATGTGTGTAGTCATCAAATTTCTCGATCCGGAACGTCGGCATCTTGTATGGCCTTGCCGAGCTGTTGTTGTGGCTGTGGTCGGTCTGCTGTTGCTGACTGATCTTAGTGTCCAGCAACTCGAACCGCTGGCTGATGGTGGCCAGCTCTGTGAAGGCACTTATGTCTACTAGCATTGCCACTACGTGGTCAACGCGTTCCTCCAGTTGGCGGCTAGAGGATGCACTGCTGGAAGCCCCAGCAGCTGGTCCTGGTACAGCCTGTTCCGGGTCCAGTACACGGGCGTCCAGTGCCCGTGTGGCATCCTCATGCTGAGTCCTATGGTTCCGCACAGCCCGCTGAAGGTTTGCCAGCTCGGACTGCAGGTGGTTACATGTGTAAACCAGCCTGGTCACGAGCTTGGCAATGAACTCCTTATGCTTCTCTTCCGGTGTTGGTTCGTCGCCGTTCGGTTCAAAGTGCCAGAACTTGAGTCTGTCGATGCTGCTGGCTTCATGCCGCAGCAGCAGATCCTGGGCTTCCTTGCGGCGAGCCTGGGTATCTGCGTCTGCTTTGGCCTGTAGCCGCAGCTTCTCTGCTGTTGCCGCTTCTTCAGCCTGTAGCTGGGCAGCCTTGACTGCCAGCTGGCGTTGTTCCTCAGCCTCGATTGCAGCGAGCTGAGTCTGGAAGCGCTTTTTGTAGTCGGCAATGGACTCATTGGCCAGTTGGCCAGACATGCCCAGAGCTGCACCCGTCACGGTGGCGGGGCACTGCTGACGTGGCACTGTGTCTGACGTGGCACTGCTGACATGGCACTGCTGACGTGGCACTGTGTCTGACATGGCACTGCTGATGTGGCACTGTCTCTGACGTGGCACTGCTTACGTGGCACTGTGTCTGACGTGGCACTGTTGACGTGTCACTGTAGCTGACGTGCCATTGTTCATGTGGCATTGTTGACGTGTTACTGTACCAACCCGGAAAATGTATGCAAAGGGTGGGTGGGAGGTAACACCCAGGTAGGAAACCAACCCAACAATACTTTCCTCCGGCCCTAATCAACAGATAAAATAAAATAAAAAAATAAAAGAGGACTACTTCCTTTTTTTTTTTTTGTATATATCTGTCGATCTATGATGAGTAGGATATGTCAGAAGAGTATTATGAACGAGATCTAGGCTGGGTGCCACAAAGTTTCGGCTTTCACTAAAATGC